AGATGATCCATTGCTGTTTTTCTTTCAGATATTCTGGGGAATGCATACCTTTCTCTATACTTCAATACTGGCCAGAACCCTAAGATCTCCCAACAAGCCCTCAGTGCCTATGCCCAAGCAGTAAGTACTTGTGGTCACTTAGGTCAAGTAAATAGAGACAATCACAGAAGGAAGAGCATCATTCAGTCTTATGGTCCTTTGGCAAGCTGCATGTGAAGTATTATCTGGTTTCTTATGTTTGTAAAACTGTGTTTGCACAAATAACTTATTTCTTCTTATAATGTGAGTGTTAGGAGTTACTTGCAGCGTGATGCTTTAGTGCTAGATAGTTCCTGGAGCTATTTAGATATTGTAGAGGCATGTATAACCAAATTACAGAAGATGTCTCAATCTGTTTATATTTTTTAATGGGAAAAAAAGACTATTAAAATAATGCTTATTAATTGTATACATTTATTTTAAAGAAAGAAGCAAACTCTTTAATGCTTAAATACTACCCCCACATTAACTAGTAGACAGTGTGGCTCTGGATTTCCTGTGGGCTAAAAGAGAAAATAGAATATAGTCTATTCTCATCATTACCTAGAATTAATTCACTGGAGCTCATTCTTTGCCTAGTCTTCTAGGCCATTTTTACATGGGTCTTTCCTTCAGGCTTTGGATACCTGATTACTCATTTTTAGGAGATTCACATTGGCTTTCTGAGCACTTCTTATTTGACTCTCATGTTCATCTTTCTTCTTTGCTTTCATGAATTCTTTGATATAGAGAACTGCTTTTTAACCTATCATTACTTGTTTTGATATTTGTGGCAAAACAAAGAAAATATTTCCCTTATATTCATGTTTGTGTTCAAGGACTGTCCGTTTATCAGTGCGGAAACTTACACAGAGATTTATATTTTACTCTAATTTCTTAATTTTGTGAATGTTTGCATTTTAAAGAATAATATGACATTTTTATATTTGACTTCTGCCAATTGCTCTTAACTCTTTAATTTCTTCTCCTAAATCTACATTTTGAAACATATCTAAACTAATCATTTAAACAATTTTAATTCGTGTTGTTTGTGCTTTTGTAGTATGACAGGCAATTAATGCAATTAACAAATGAACAGATCAGTTTCTTCACAGCGCATTTGCACTGTCCTTTGGTTTCTGGCGATGTATTTTAGAGAATCAGAATTTGACTTTCCATTTGTGCTTTAAGGGGGTTTAGATGTAAGAACATGATTCTGCGTGGGTCTGGAGCCAGGCTTATGGGCAGAAGAAATGCATTAAGTCAATATCATATCATATTGTGCTAGGCTTTCCTCATTTATCCAGCATATTACTAATAAAAATTATTTTTATCAGAATGTATTCACGTATTTCTTTATATTCTGTCTTTATAGTACTGTGTGGATTAACTAAAACCATATTTGAAAGTTTTACGTATATAAACACTGTTACATCCCTCAGGTTTGAGAGATTGAGAGACTGAGGAACATATATAAGGAACAATTGTATAGTAGTGTGGGTATAGGTAATATTTTGGCAAGAAACTAAATTTTTTCTAGGGACAAGAGGTCTAGGATGTCATATGTATGGCTATCCTTAAGATTGAGGCAGGATCCACCGATGATCTTTTTATCCCATTACAGGAGAAGGTTGACGGGAAAGCTTCTAGCAATCCTGACCTTCATCTGAACAGGGCAACGGTAAGACCGTGAGACAGTAGTCATAGGAAGGTTAAATAAAAAGACGTATAGGTCTTGGCCTGTGAGGATAACTGAGTATACATATGGACAAAGTTCAGTATGAACTGTGAGAGGAAAGCCAAATTATTTCTAGAACTAGTTAGCTCAATTTGACTTTAGTATCCCATCGAATCACTAAAGGGAGAGAGGGGCTGGGAGGTAGGCGAGTACATAGAAAATGGGGAGATGGTTTAGAAGACTTTGAAGTATTAAGAATAAGTGTAAAAGTAGAGTGACCCAATATATGCCACTTTTTATTTAGAGTTTGTAAATTAGTGTCTTTGAAGTAATTTCATCTTTGTCATTGCTATTACCTTGGCCAAGAAGGATGATATTCATGGTAGGACAGGAAAATAATTGGGAAGTAAAACAGTTTATTTCTCCAGGCTCCTAACTCATTGTGGCATTATTCTCTCTGCATAGTTTGGACATATTTATAATTGGGAAGTTTTGGACTACTTTTTGTACAGTTACATAAATATGAAGAGAGTTATGGGGAGGCCCTGGAGGGCTTTTCTCGGGCTGCAGCACTAGACCCTGCCTGGCCAGAGCCCCAGCAACGAGAGCAACAACTCCTGGAATTCCTTAATAGATTAACCATCCTCCTGGAAAGCAAGGTAAAGATGTATAATAAGGGCTGAAGCCTACTCTTTTTTTCTGCTAGGGGTCAAAAAATAAAAAAAGAGTAGACTTAGGTGGTAGTGACCCCATTGAAATAGGTGGGTGAGAGGGAAGGACTGAACTCAAGAATAATTTTCACTTTTTCCTATTTCTCCTTCCTTTGCAGGGAAAGATGAAGGTGAAAAAGCTACAGAGCATGCTGGGAAACTTGCGTCCTGCCCACCTAGGCCCCTGTGGTGATGGTCGCTATCAATCAGCCTCTGGGCAGAAGGTGACCCTGCAGCTCAAGCCTCTGAGTGAGCTGAAGCCTGGTGTAAATAGTGGTGCTGTGGTCCTGGGAAAGGTGGTGTTTAGCCTAACCACAGAGGAGAAAGTCCCCTTGTGAGTGTCTTTTGCCTTTTCTCTTTTTCTCCCTTTTGAACTAATTGCTCTCACTTCTTGTCCTTTCCCTGACAGTTTGAGGGCATTGTTAATGGTTACAAATTACTGACTTCTCATTCCCTTCTGTTCTACAAGCAAAAATTGTGTAGGTGATATCTAACAATTCTTGGCAGAAGCCTTTATAGTTTCTGTATGCCTGTTTCTCCCCCTGAGTTTGGTGCTTTGTGAATTCCTATATTTATAACAAATTTAACAGGACATTTTTTAAATAAGATATAGAAATCTTAAAATTCTGCCTCCTTTGAGTTTTGATGATTATAGAGTTGAAGGAGGACAAATTCTGTTCTGTTTAGACTTAGATTTTCTTAGGTAGTTCCAGAAGGTGAACTTTGAGTTGGAACTTAAGGCCAGATTATAGGGAGATTTTCCCAGATTTGTCATTCAACAAATATTTATTGAGCATATACTATATTTGTTATGAGGAGTGAGAAAAAAATTTATAAAGGACTTAGGCTAATGATAGCAAAGGAATGAATTAAGAATATTCATTTAGAAAAATTTAAATCTTGAAAACTTAGGGTTTAGTGAGTGCCATCACTCCTTTGTCCTTCACTCACTTCCTATTCCTTTCTTGACTGTCTCTCTTTTGTTTCTACTGAAATGGTTTATTTTCTGGAATCACCAGAGTCTTTCTAAGCACATGATTCATTGGCTTCACTACATGATTTTATAACATTTGACTTATCTTTCACTGTCGTCTTTCCCATCCTTTCTGTTCCATCCAAGCTGAAAAACAGTTCCCATTACATTCCTGAGCATTCTCCATTGGCATTTTCTAGAAGTATGTGTATTTGATGAATTGAAGAGCAAGAAGATTGTTGAGGAAAGTTTAGTTAATGAGAGCACACCTTAGAGCTGAAAGGAATGAAAAAGATATAGACAAAGGGTAAGTTTTAAGGAAACTTTGAGAATATATAAATGTTTTGCCACTTTTTGGTTTCTCTCTTTGCCCAACTTCTAAATGTTAGTTTCTTTAGGACTCCCATGCCATGGGATGTTTGCCTACATTGATTGGTGATTGTCTGACGTAGTCTATAGAAAGACTCTGAGGCTTTGGCTGGATTCATCAGGAGAGTACTATGCTTGATTGCAGTGTTCCCTGTGAATTCAAGCATGCTATGTACTGGCATGAGCACTGATTTGTCAGCATCTTATCTATAGTTTACCTTGCTTGGTGATGTCATATGAACCCAAGCCTATGGCTATTTCCTCCATGCTCACAGGTATATCTTCAGCAAGGCCTAATTTTTGGGTTTTGCATCCCTTTATCTGACTGCTTCTGGGCTTCATTTAAAATTTCTAACTCAGTGTGTTCAAAATTTCTCATCTGACTGGTCATGGTGGCACACACCTATAATC